ATAAGGGTAATGCTATCAGGCCTAGCTTACAATAGTGGTTTCTCAAATGCAGTAACAACAGAACAAATGCCAAAAGATAAATAAATGAGACCTCACAAAAATTAAAAATGTCATATTTCATTAGAAGATGTTGCTGAAAGAGTGAAAGCACAAGTTAACGATTGAGAGAGTATCTTCAGAAATCATATACCTGATAAGAATCTAAAAGCCAAAATAGGTAGAAAACTGATCCTTTAACAACAAAATGACAACCAAATTCTAATATGAGTTAAGAACTTAAATAGAAATTTCACCAAAGAGGATATTAGCATGGCCACTAAATAAGTGAAAAGATGCTCAGTGTTACTAGCAATCAGAGAGATGCAAATCAAAACCACAATGAAATAGCATTTCATGCCCATTTATTTATTAGTAAATAAATGATAAGTGTTGTTGAGGATGTTGTGAAAATAGAAGCTTTCTCATTGCTAGTGGCTGCAGAATGGTTCCTTCACTGTTGAAAATTGTCTGAGGGGGTCCCCAAAAATCTAATGATAGAACTACATTTATAAAGATGTAACCCAGCACTTCCACTCTAGGTGTATACTCAAAAGATGTGAAAGACAGCTCCTGTTGTTATTAGGTGCCATTGGGTCGAGTACGACTCACAGTGACCCTATGTATAACACATCTGAACCCACTCCTGTCCTGTGCCATCTTCACACTTCCTGACACACTAGAGCTCACTGCAGCAGTCACTGTCAGTCCACCTGGTTAAGGGTCTTCCTCTCCTTCACTCACCCTCCACCCTTCCAAGCACCATGTCCATCTCCCAGGAATAGCAACATGCCCAAAGTATGTGAGACGAAACCTCATCATTCTTGCCTCCAAAGAATACTCTGGCTGCACTTCTCCAAGACATATTTGTTTTTAATGCTATGTAAACTTTAACTTTTCTTACTTTGAAATGATCAAACATTTGTTCTTCTTTCTTGTCAAATTCTTAACAACATAATTAGTAATGGATATCGTTGGTATCTGAAGACTTAGTCATTGTAAGAAGAGTTGTATGTTGATAACATGCCACAATACCGATGGAACTTGGAAACATTACACTGAGTGAAATGAGCTAATCACAAAAGGACAAGTATTGTATGGCCTTACTTAAATAAAAAGAAATTAAAAAGTAAGTGTTTAGAGACTAGAGAGGAGAGTGTTAATGGTTAGTTGGGGCAGAAGGGAAAGGGAGAGTGTTAATAAGAGTGATGCGGTAGATAATTGAAAAATACTTAAAACTGTATATCAACAGAGAACTGCCACAACTTCAGACTGGAGTTAGAAGAAGCTGTGGCATGAGCTCATGTTAGGTAGATCTGGGTGGAAGGCAGAGAATACCTACTCAGAAGAAGGCCTTTTTGTCTTTTATAAACTATGCAAAGGCTTTTGACTGTGTCGATCATTACCAATATGGCTGATGAAAGAATGAGAATCCTAGAACACTTGATTGTATACCAAGAAATTGTGGTATGAAAAGAGCAAGGGAGCACTATAAGGTTTAAAATCAGGACAAGGGTGCATCAGGACTGTACTCTTTCCATACCTAGTTAACCTGTAGGGATTTCTGGTGGCCTAGTGGTAAGCTCCACTGCAATACTGAAGGCACATGGTACGAATCTGCAGGAGAAGGATGGAGAGTCTCCTCCTTTGTGAGTAATTGGCTCTGAAAACCTGCTGAAGGGTCAGCTGTAGGTCAGTTCCAACTTAGTGGTACTCAACAGCAACAGCCTATCTGTATTCAGAAAAAATCATTCAAGAAGCTAGACTGTTTAAAAACACTTGCTACAGATCAAAGACTACAGCCTTCAATATGGATTCCCTTAAGACATGTCTAAACATAAAGAAAACCAAAATCCTCACCATCAAGCCTATATGCAACAACAAGATAGATGGAGAAGAGAGAGAAATAGTCAGTGATTTTGTAACACCACTGGAAATCAAAAGGCGTATTGCATTGGAAAAGTCTGCTGTCAGGGAACTCTCCAAAGTGCTGACATTTAAAGATGTTTAAAGACTAAAGTGTGCTTGATCCAAACCATGTTCTTTTCAGTTACTTGTTATGTATCTGAAAGTTGGACAGTGAATAAGGATGACAGGAGAATAGATAGCTTTGAGTTGTGGTGTTGGAGAAGAGTGCTGACTATCCCATGGATGGCCAAAAGAACATACAGGTATCTTGGAAAAGGTACAGCCAAAGTAATCCTTGAAGGCAAGGATAGTGAAACTTCATCTCACACACTTTGGAAATATTGTTAAGAAGAGCCAGTCCTTGGAAAAGGACATCATGTTGGGACAGGTGAAGCGTCAGTAAAAGAGAGGAAGACCCTCAGTGAGATGGTTGGACCAGTGACTAACGGTGGGCCCAAGAGTGTCAGAGATGATGGTGACACAGGATATGGCAAGGTTCAGATCCATTGTTCATAGGATCACTAGGAGTTGTGTCTCAGGGGCACTTAACAACAAAGGGTTGTGTAGCAAGTTGTTTCCCTGTTAATGGTTAAATTGGCAGATTGAAAGAGAGCAAGGTTCAGAGCTGTTGTACATAGGGTCTCTATGAGTTGCAAGGAACTTGATGGCACGTAAGAAAAACAGTAACAAAACATGTACAACCAAGAACTTCATGGATTTGGTTCCTTGATTTGGAGGCTTAAAGTCATGGTTTCATGGGATATTCCACTTAATTGGTTTAATAAAATGTATCTGTTCTATCTCGTAATCTTTTGTCTTGTACCTGACATTTTAAAAGCTTGGAAGCAGACATCCAGGGCACAATATTTGGTCTCTATCCCTTGGAAGGGAAAAAGAGATTCAGGAGTAGGAGGTGATTATGGAATGTGTGGCTGGAAATCTCTATGACCCTCCTTGCCCATGAGACCACAAGAACTAGATGGTGTCCAGCTACCAATACTGAACATTTTCATCAAAGCTTCCAAAGTAGAATCCTGATTAAAGGGAAGAAATTACAGAATTGCAAATTATCATAGACTTCGAACTTTCCGGAGTCATTCCGATGATAAACCCCTGAAACTTTTGCCCTAGAATAACCTTTAAAACCTGTGCTAAAAATATCCCTATAAGTCTTCTTAAAACTGACTTAAAAGTAGGTTACCTTATCTAAACTACTGTTCAGTTTTAAGAAGAGAGCTCTAGTGGTCTAGTGGGTAAACAGTTGCACGGCCAACTCAAAGGTGGCTGGTTTGAATCCACTAGTTGCTCTGGGAAAGAAAGATGGGCTGTCTTTCTCCTAAAGAGCGTAGGTGGGTTTTAACTGTCAACTTTTTGGTAAAGAGTAAAAACTCAACAACAGTGATTATTTAGAACCTTAGGGAACCATTTATGCGTTAATGAGGGAAGAACAACTCAGAAAAGGAGGCTGAGAATGGTCACATAATTAGAATAAAATCGGTGTTACTACGTGGTCTATGTAGAAATTGAGATTTTATGGTATATATTTACAACAACAAAACCAGTATTTAGAAGCTTCTCCCTTCAAAAAATAAGTTCTAAGTGATTATAACAGAAAATTCCTGTCAAATTAACATTTGTATTCAGATATTCTTTTGAATAATGTGTTATCATCACTCACTCACTGCCATGGAGTCACTTTGGACTCAGACACCTTGTAGGACAGAGCATAACTGCTGGCAGGGTTTTGGAGGCTGTAAGTCTTCATATTGTAGCTGATGTTAGATGGATCTTAGCTGAAAGCAGAGAATACTAGAAGAATGTATATCTGTGTTTCATTGATTATGCAAAGGCATTTGACTGCGTGGATCATAACAAACTGTGGCTGACTCTGAGAAGAATGAGAATCCCAGAACACTTGATCATGCTAATTCGAAACCTATACTTGGACCAAGAGGCAGTCGTCAGAACAGAGCAGGGTAACACCGCATGATTCAAAAGTGGGAAGGGTGTACGCCAGGGACGTGTCCTATCTCCATACTTTAATAATCAGCGTTATGCAGATGGTACAACCCTGCTTGCTGAAACTGAGGAAGACCTCATGCACTTGCTGCAGAGGGTCAAGGACTGCAGCCTTCAGTACGGACTGAGCTCAATGTCAAGAAAACAAAGATTCTCACCACTGGACCAACTGGTAGCATCAGGATGGATGGCGAAGAGATTGAGATTGTTCACAGCTTCAGTTTGCTCGGCTCCACGGTCAGTACTCTTGGCACCAGCAGCCAGGAAATTAAAAAATGTGTTGCGATGGGAAAGTCTGCTGTTAGGGACCTCTCTAAAGTACTCAAGAGGAATGGTGTCTCTCTGGAGACCAAGGTGTGCCTGATACAGGCCCTGGTCTTTGCAATCAATTGTTATGCATCAGAGATTTGGACAATGACTAGGGAGGATAGAAGGAGAATTGATGCCTTTGAGCTGTGGTGCTGGAGAAGAGTATTGAATGTACAAAGGTCTACCAAGAAAACAAACAGATTCATCCTGGCTAGGGTTAAACCGGGTGGCTCCTTGGAGGCAAGGATTCTGGGGCTTCGTCTGACATACTTTGGACATGTTGTAAGGAGAGACAGGTCCTTGGAGAGGGACATCATGCTTGGGAGGGCGGAGGGAAGGCGCAAGAGGGGAAGACCCTCTATGAGGTGGATTGATTCAGTGACTGGGGTAATCGGGATGGGTGTGTCAGAGGCAGTGCGATTGGCACAGGATAGAGCAGGGTTTAGGGCTGTTGTACATAGGGTTGCTATGAGTTGCAAACGACTCAGTGGCACATAACAACAACAACACGTCTTCATAAAGGTAGACAGTTTCCTTGTAGTTAGCAGCTGGACTCTACTCCCTACACCACAAGGGAAGATAACAGTGTGAACCAAAGCTGTGATGACGTGCAACCGGATAATCTTTTCTTTTAAATTATGTGTGTTATTATATCATTTGGGGCTAATCATGAATTCTCAGTGGTATAATGTGGTCCTTTCTTTTTTCTTTAATTGCCTAGTTTGAAGATGAATAGTGATCAAGTTACGCTGGTGGGCCAAGTATTTGAGTCCTATGTCTCAGAATACCATAAGAACGATATTCTTCTCATCTTAAAGGAAGCGGATGAAGATGCTCATTACCCAGTGGTGGTTAATGCCATGACCCTTTTTGAAACCAACATGGAAATTGGGGAATATTTCAATGCATTCCCCAATGAAGTATTGACTATTTTTGATAATGCCCTGCGAAGGTCGGCATTGACAATTCTGCAGGCCCTCTCTCAGTCTGAGGATATCTCCATGAAGCAGAACGTTCATGCCAGGATATCAGGTGGGTCATTTCAGAATCTTCCTGCTGATTACTCTGTAGGAAGGTTTCAAGAAAATATAACATATATTGAATTCAGAGTACTAAGGAATAACAGATACTTTATACTTGTGTTCTTTATGTAATGAATGCTTACTTGTTTTAGAAAATAATGAATTTTTTTGTGGAAAGTTTTTCTGTAGAAAGTTATTTTGTATCGTCTGTGGAGAGTGGAAAGGCTTAAATATTAACCATTGCAAGTGAAAGAATAAAGAGAAATACTTGTATGCATATGAATTTCCATAGCCATGAGTACATGTTTAAAATTGTAATCCATAGCCACTGGATGAGCTTTCATGGCTACTAACAGTACAAAAAATTGATAATGCAGGAATTGGAAAATTGGTAGATGCTGTCCACAGAACTTCAGAACTGTTTTAGGAAATCGGTTCTCATATGTTAAGATTAGCGCTATGCAGAACACATATCAGGCACTTAGATTTTTGTTGAATGAAGGGACAGTTTGATTGTAGTAAGAAAATGTAGTGAAGACCTGAGCAGCTTCTGGTGACAGTGCTGTTCCTGGGAACTCCTACCTTCAAATTTTTCCTTCTTGCCTCTCGCTTTCTGTTTAAAATACTTTTTTTTTTTTTTTAAACAGGATGGACAGAATTAGTTACTGATAAGAATTTTTGAAAATGTGACCTTCCAGTATGATTTTTCATTACTTTATTGCTGTTATGTGCCATGTAGAGCTCAGCTGATGCCCCAGCAGGTTTTAGTGGCAGTAAATTGCCCAAGAGGAAATTGTCCATCTTTCTCCTGTGTTGTTGCTGGTGAACTCAAACTGTCTGCCTTTGGGTTGGCTCCCCAAAGCTTCTTGATTACTTAATAACATGGACATAATTTCTTAGAAAGCCTAGAGTGAGATGGTGGAAAGAATATTATTATTGAATTTAGAGGATAATTGGTTATAATGTGCGGCCTTCAATGGCCTAGTTTTGCGTGAGCATAACCAAGTGTTCCCATTCTTCTCAATGTTAGCCACAATTTGTGTATGATCCTCCCAGTCAGTTGTCTTTGCATGATCAAGAAAATACAAATAGACCTCCATCTGGTATTCTCTGCTTGATCCATCTGATATTAGCAATTATATCCCAGGTGCCATGGCCTCTGCTAAACCCTACTTGTATTTCTGGCAGCTCTCTGTTGATGTACTATTCCATTGACTTTGGGAAATCTTCAGCAAGATTTTATTTGCATGGGATAATGATATTGTTTGATAATTTCCACATTCTGTTGGATCACCTTCTTTTGGAAATGAATTATGGATTGCTTTGAATCAGTTGGCTAGAAAGCTGAATTCTAGATTTCTTGGCACAACATGGGGAGCACATCCAGGGCTGCATCTGTTAATATACATCAGTTGGTATTCCAGGTATTCTAATGAGAAACCTCTACCTAGACTAGGAAGCTGTTGTCTGAAGAGAGCAAGGGAACACTACATAGTTCAAAATCGAGAAAGGTGTGAGTCAGGGATATATCCTGTCCCCAAACCTTTTCAGTCTTTTCAATGCTTAACAGATCATTCAAGAGGCTGGGCTTGATGAAAAAATATGTGGCATCAGGATTGGAGGAAGACTCATCAACAACTTGTGCTTTGCTGATGACACAACCTCGCCATCAAAACTGAGGAGGACTTGATGCGTTTGCTGCAGAATGTAGACTGCAGTCTTCAATATGGATAGTACCTCAACATCAAGAAAACAAAGATTCTCACCACAGGGCCAATAGGTGGCATCATCATAGATGGAGGAAGATTGAGGTTATTAGTTTGCATCTTGCTCGGATCCACAATCAAGACCTTTGGCACCAGCAGTCAGGAAATTAAAAGACGAGTTGCATTAGGAAAATCTGCTGCCTGGGACCTCTCTAGAGTGCTAACGAGCAACATTGTCAGTCTAGAGGTTAAGTTGTACCTGATCTAGACCATGCTCTTCTGAACCGCTTGCTGCATCTGAGAGTTGGACAAGTGAATAAGAAAAAGAATTGATGCCTTTGAGTTGTGTTGGAGAAGACTACTGAGTGTACAATAACGGTAACAAACAGGTCTGTTACGGAGAGGGTAAAACCAGGTTGCCTTATGGAGGCAAAGGTTTTGAAGATCCATCTCACATACTTGGGGCATGTTGCCAGGAAGAACTAGTCCTTGGAGAAGGACATGACTGGAGGGTTCTAGGGTCAGTGCAGGAGAGGAAGACTCTGAATGAGTTGGATTGACACAGTGACTGTGGCAATGGGACAGGTGTGTCAGAGATGATGAGGTTGGCTCAGGATAGGACAAGGTTGAGAGCCATTGTTCATGTGGTAGTTGTGAGGTACAGTTGACTCAATTGCACATAACAACAACAGTAGCCTGGTCCAGAGAGAGTTGCATTGCTAGCATAAAGGTAGCCTGTTCACATCCACAAGTGACTCTCAGATTGGCATCCTACTCCTAGGTGATCTACACCCTCAGAAACATGCTGGAGAGTCAGCTGTGAGTCCTCTCTGATTCAACGACAGTGAGTTTTTGGTTAGAACAACACCTCCAGGCTAAGAGGCTTTACAAATCATTGAGTCTCACTGAACCTTCATTTCTGCACCTGCAAATGACTTCCAGAGTCCCTCAAAATGTCCAGTTTTCTTATTTTTTTAATTTCAAATACAGGCATACCTAATTATTCCACTCCATGGACATGTGACAGTTGTGGCCACCTCACATCAAGCGTGTTTATCTGCCATTTTTCCCAACAGTATGTGCTCACTTGATGTCTCTGTGCCACATTTTGGTAATTCTGACAGTATTTCAAAATTTTTCATAATGCCACTTATTGTACACTTAGCAGTCTACAGAATAGTGCAGACATGACTTTATATGCACTGGAAAACCAGGGGGAAAGGTGTCTTCCTTTATTGAAATCTTTGCTTTATGGTACAACCACTGAGGAAGGCGGTATGGTGCTTTCTCAAAAAGTTACAAGTAGAGATACCATTTGACCCAGCAATTCCACTACTGGGAATATACCCCAAAGAGACAGACCATAACTGACACCCAAGCAGATATATGCACATCCATGTTTATTGCAGCTATGTTCACAATAGTAAGGAGTTGGAACAACCCAGGTGCCCATCAACAAACGAATGGATAGAGAAGCTGTGGTATATTTACACAATGGAAAACTACACTGCATTGAAAAACAAGGAACTCATGCAATATTATTCAAAATGGGTGACTCTGGAGGACATTATGCTGAGTGAAGTATCTCAATCACAAAAGGACAAATAACTGCATGGTGCCACTGTTGTTAAACAGGACTGACACTGGGTTCGGGGAGAGACTGAGAAAGATGAATTCAATAATGTATACTGCATTGAAACAGATGAGGGAGAAAACTGTTTAAAAGGGATATGTGATTAGGTATTTTTGTCATGACAGGAGTCTAGAGTGGAGGCTACATGGTGAAGTGAACCTGGGGGAGGGTTTGTAAAACAATGAAAGAATTTTTCTTTTACTTTTCCAAGAGGGTAGTGTACTGGGGGGGAGAGTTGGGAGTGAAGAAAAGTGCAACAATGAATGAATGGAAAGTCAAAGTCTCTGTAAATGTTACTGCAATTAATAATAAATTTTTTAAAAAAAGAAAAAAAATCTTTGCTTTATTGCTTTGGTCTGGAATCAAACCTTCACTATCCCCGATATGTTCTTGAATGTTGTTGTTGTATAAACTGATGAAGTCTGGTTCAGCCTCATTCTGTTTATTGGGAAGACAGATTTAGTGAAATTTAGCTCCAGACTATTTAAAGGGCAAGTGATGATTAAAATGGAAGGCATACATCAGTTCCCTTTTGTTTAAAAATAAGTATTTATTTTATAATACATCTCAGAAGAGTGGAGATTTATAATTAATAAGAAGGTGATTCCTAAAAGGTTAACCATCTCTAGGTTAGAATTGAACTCCTCAAGAGACAAATTAAAACTCTAGTGTCGCCAATTAAAATTGTTAGAATAAAATTTTGAGAGTTATTAATCTTTATGCATCAAGCATGAGATAATCTTCTGGGATCAAGGAAAAAACTTTCCCGTCTAAGAAGTTTGCACTAATTAGGTAGACTTTAGGGGCTTTAGTTTATGATGAGTAGTTTTCGGCTGTGTTTTTGTTTGGATACCTTTCCAAGCTCAATTAGATAAAAATAAAAAACCAAAAAAAACCCAAAAACCCCTATCTGCCAGAAATGTACAAAGAGCTGGAGTCAGAAGGGGGAAAAAGGGAAGAACGCTGTCAGCATTTCTCAAGCTCAGAGAGCTGAAAAATTCAAGCCTCAAGCTGCAGGACTGAAAGATGCTATGACCAGAATGAATAATCAAAAGCAGATGGAGGAAATGCACGGAATTACTCTACAAAGAAATTAGTTGCCAGTGAAAAATTTCAGGAAGTACTGTATGAACAAGAGCCAGTGGTGATGAAAGGTGTAAGTTCAAGTTGCGCTAAAGGTATTGGCAAAAAGTAAGGCCCAAGCGATAATTGGAATAGTAATGAATATGTTTCAGCAGACAGATGCAGCTCAGGATGTGCTTACATGTCTGTGCTAGGAAACTTGGAGGCCAGTTGTCTGGCTGATTGATTGGAAGAGATCCATATTTGCTCCTATTCCCAAGAAAGGTAACCCAACAGAATGTGGAAATAATCAAAATTATCATTAATATCACATGCAAGGAAAATAAAGCAATAGATCATCCCAAAACGACTAACAAAGTACACAGAGAACTGTCAGAAGCTCAAGCAAGGTTAAGAAGAGGCCATGGCACCAAAGATATCATTGTGGATGTCACATGGATCCCGCCTGAAAGCAGAGAATACCGGAAGAATGTCTATTTGTGTTTCTTTGACTTTGCAAAGGCATTTCACTATGTGGCTCATGACAAATTATGGCTAATATTGAGAGGAATGGGGATACCAGAACACTTACTTGTGCTTATGAGAAAA